GTATTTTTACAGTCTTTATTTTACAGTTAAAATAAATGTTTATCATATAAAGTCAAATGTTACAACTAATCGTGGATCACTTTAAAGTGCCTGTGACCATCACATCTTTCAAATACAATAAGTTAAAGAAAACATCTTTATATTGAAAAAAAAGCTTAACAGAATATAAGATTTAACCAGTGATGAGCAGCACTAGTCTAAATATTAGCTCCACTAGCCCTAAAGCACTAACTCAAATAATTAGGTCCCCTAATTCTAAAGCACTAAAACAACCCAGTCAACCCCTGAACATTCTTCAACAGACATCATGAGTCACATATTTACATGTTGCCCTCTTTAGACTTAATATTGACATTCCACAGCTGTATTTGGTTCATATATTGTCACCTGGTGGATCAGTGACACACATATGAACAAAATGTGTGATAGTTTTCACCTTCAGCTGTTAACATTAATGTTGATCTACAACATTTATGGACCTCAGTTAGTGCTTCTAAATTTAGCCTATAAATTTAGCAAGTGCTAATCCGCGAATAAATTTTAAAATTAGCAAAAGCCCTAAAGCACTAAACAGGAAATTAGTTCCCCTATTAGTGCTTTAGGGGAACTGTGCCCACCACCGGATTTTACCTATTTTGTGGCATATTTTCCTTTGAACTTGGCTCAGCCAATGTGAAACAGGAAGTGACATCACAGGGGAACACTTCAAAAAGTGTCTTTGTTTATTAAAATGCTAAAATGTGAACTCTTCCTCTCTCTGATAGTGATTAAAATAATCTAAAAACATCAGTTTCTATTCTAATCTGTCAGCTGTTGTAGAAACACTGTTCACACACAGACACTCCCCTATGACATCACTTCCTGTTACTTCACATCTGAACATCTCAACAACTGTTCATCTCAGCGGTGTAAAATTTCTTTTGTAATATTTTATCTGTGTTCTCTCTCCAAAAAATGCATTATTACAAAAGTTTGACGTCACAGGCACTTTAATCCATCTTGGAAGCTCTTGCGGGCCACATTAGGGCCGCGGGCCAGGAGTTGACATGAGCGTCTGGCTCACTTGCAGAGACGGGGTGAGGGGCAGTCAGTTAGGTTCATGTAAACAAGATGTTTGCTGGGTGCATCCCCTTTTGGAAGAGTTCCAGACCCGTTTGGGTCAGAACCAGAACCACTGTTCTCCCACATTGTGTCGTTTGGATTTATGACCTTGAGCAGAAACACCATTTGCTTGTCTGTTTCTTCCTGTTCAGCTCCTGTTGGCAGTTTGTCTGAACAAACATGTTTAACTGATGGGTGTGTTTCCTCCTGAATGTAAACGTTGTGTTCTCCCTCCCCACCCCCTCAGGTAACGAAGCGTCAGACGCCGGCTGCCTGGGCCTGGCGGGTCTGAGCGGCGTGCCCGCGGACGCTCCGGCAGAGGCGGTCAACGCGGCCAAGTACACCTGCCGCCTGGGCGGGGGGACGGGTGCCCTGAGGGAGTTCGCTGAGCACGTCCTCCTGCAGAAGGAGACGGCCAAGTCCCAGATGAAGCAGGACCGGATCTACCGCATCAACTTCTGACGGAGAGCCGAGTCCAGGCGGAGAGATGGAGAAACGAGCTGCGTTTATTTAAACACAGCTCGTTTATTTAATTAAAAATGATTCAAACGTTACAGAGGCATCTTGAATCAGGTCGACTCGAACCTTCGTTCTGTTTCCTTAAAGTTTGTGCTCAAAATAACGTGTTGAAATATAATTCGGCTAAGTTATAAAACAGCATGGGATAAATGTTCATTGTTACGCTGATGATACTCAGTTATATTTATCCATGAAACCTGATGAATCTAATAAAACATGTCTTAAAGACATGATTCTGTGATGAAGTCATTTACATGAGATTAACATGTCAGTTTCTCATCAATAATAACACCCAAAAACGTCACCTCACTCACTTCACTGAGCTCTACACCATCAACTGTAAATGGAATATTAACAGTTCTCTTTTTGTAAAGAATATTAGTTTCATCCAAATTTAGTGATAATTTATTAAGTTTAAACCAGTTTTGTATTTTCACAAATTCTTAGAAAAAAGATTTTTTTCCTCCTTGTCTGTTTTTTTTCCCCTTAAACATTATAAAACCCTTTAAAAATATAATGAATCAGGCTTAAAACTCTTGCAAACTTTAAACTCATATGAGGGCGTTACCTGTGCAAAGATTCATGCTGCTAAAGTGAAGTTTGAGTAAATAATTTGGTGTTTGTCATTGTGCACAAGCTGAACCAGAGATAAATGTTAAGAAATATCAGGTTGATTGCAGAAATTCCTTTTTCCTTACATGCCTTTTTAAAAAAAAATGTTTTTAAATGTTAAATTCTCACATTTATTTTTTAACC